GCGATGAAGGTGACTCGAGGCCTCGAGGATAAGCAAGACCACTCAGCGACGTGCCACTTTGCCTGCACTATGCATGTTCAGGATCAGCAGAAACGCCTGGCGGTGCCACTGGTGCGCACTAGATCATGCCTTGCAATAGATGCACATGGCCATGGCGAGGGCAACGAGCCCTGTCGTAAACCTTGATGGTGAAGCTTTGAAGGTATAGTGGCGTGATCAATGGGCGGTCTGTCGAATAGAAATGTGTGTCCACATACTACAGTCCGCATACGACGTGCATCATACAACTTGCGGACGTGCATTGCATGTTTTTGGTGAAATAAATCATCTCCACGGTGACCCCCGACGTCGACCACCACGAGATCAGATGCACGGATAACAGGCATCAGGGGTTCGACATTCGACCATCACACTTCCACCACAACGAAACAGCCACGAAACAGCACGAAACCCGCCCACCACCCACTATTAGCCCTCAGCCACTATCGCAGCATAGCACATGGAACACTGCCCACACAGCCAATGGCCCTTGTAGCTCCTCGGTCCATGTAGTGCGCGACTGTTGAGCAGCTCGAAGTTGAACTTCAAAAGTAAGCAGGGGAAGGAGGGAAAACGCGTCCAAGAGGCGCCGCGTGTAGGGCGGGTGACTTGGCCTATAGAATTCGTTCAGCGTCGCTAAAATCGTTCGTCGGATGCAGTAACCACTGGACAGTCATTGTGGCGTATGTCAAGTATGTTTGCATCAGAGGAATTAACCAAACACAGAGCGCCGAGGGGACATCCAGGGCCGGACCGGTTATCCATTCGCAGCGACTTCGACTGTCAGTGAGTGTCCAGGAGTCATTTTCTGACATTTTTGGCTAGTTCAGATTGCCGACTGCAGTGGGCAGTGGGCAGTGGTGTTTGTGTCTGCCGAAACTCAAGCAAAGACCCAGAAGCTTGAAGTGACGGACCATATGTAGGATGGTTCGCCCAAACTCCGCGAGGGTGGTAGCATTTCGCGACCTTGGATGAATTGTAGGCTCCTGGGTGACTACCGTTTTCGCCCATCCATTCCACTTCGTCGATCCGGAGGGTTTGCGGGCTCTCGAGCATTGTTCTTGAGCAGAGTGTTGACTACGACCTCTGAAACGGACTCGACTCTCGTAGCCATTTACAAGAGAACAGACTCGGCTGCGTCTTGGGACATTGCATACCGGGGCCTCATCCTCAGCTTGTTCGCGACTGCGAAATATCGATCCTGGATCTCAACTCGAACAGCACCTCCCGGCTTTCACAAATTCCTCAATACCTCCGAAAGGGTCCGCAAGTTCGTTTTCAAGTTCACGATCGAATTTTGGAGACCGCGGTGCTTCGCTATATACATGATTACATCCAACAATGAATGGATGATCTGGTCTCATCTGTGCTTGCAGCGAAGCTCGAAGGGGTAGTTGGCTTAGTCCAACCTTCTCGATCACCCATTCCCCCCTCCCCAAAATGCAAATGCAAAGAAACAAAGCCACTTCACGCCATTCCGGACGAATCCATCATTTCCTGCGTCTAGCTGATTCCCGATGTCGACGCTCGAGAGCTGGAACTCGTTCAAGGAAAATCCGCAGCGGGCCTCAATTTCAGTGCTCAGTCATTGAGTCAGGACACAGTATATCATATCCTTGTGACCGCGACGCAACGCGTTCACCGATCGTGGACCAGACTCTGGACGGTGAGCACTGATCTCGCGGGTATATAATTCGTCGATCTACAGCCAGCCGCCTTCACCCGCTGGTACTTCGTACCACTCTTCATCACCGTGATCCTCGCACCCCGTCTGCCTCCTGGTCTCCGGAGCACTCGTCTTGATGGCGAGCTCGGCGCCAATGTCGTCTCTCTCCTCGTCTCAGTCTTCGATATTCTGGTCAACATTTTCGAGCATCTCGCTAACGCCTTCGGCCTTCTTTCTTCCCTCTCTGACGCCAAGAGGCGGTAAGGTAGATTTTCACACCGTAAGTGCAACACGATACACTGCACCAGTGATGGTCATGCTTGTACCTTGTGTCTGCATGTCCAGGTGGAATATGAAACTAGAGTTCAATATAGGCTACACAGAAGGGAATGATAGAAGCGGGGTATATGCATACCATCCCGTCACAATGAAAATACCCTACCTATCTAGGCTCCCGGTACTTGGAAGCGAGCTTTCATTAACACGCCTCGCATATTCGTACTCAAGAACGCGTTGATCGGAAGATGAGGCGCACCACGCGCTCAAGATACATGACTGGAGGCGTTGAAAGGAATAGTCAGGCACCTGAATGGGGAAAGGGCATCCGGAACGCGTTTGGAAATATACGCAGGCAAAGAGCATCGGGAAGTGCGCGTGCGTTCGTGCTTTATCGAAGCGATGTCAAACGGGCTATCGTATCGCAGCTCGATCTAATACTCCGTCGAGCTCACAGGAGATACTTTCTCGCTGCTATTGCATTGGTTAAAGGGTTTGGCGGTCGCCATTGGGTCTTGAATTTTCTCGGGCTCTGAGCCTGATTCCTGCTCTGGGTCGGTACATTCGGCTTTTATTGCTTATAGAAATGCTGGTGGCACGAGGGTGCTTGTGTGATGGTGGTTTATGTCAAGTGAAGAATGAGCGTCTAAGGTCTTTTGAGCTGAGTATTAGGAAAGTATTGAACAGAAATTGCCATACAAGGAAATTTCTGATCAATACTTCTCTGATATTGCACCCGAGAGTATTGAGAAAGTAATCTGAATACTTTTACCGTACTTTCTTCTATTCCAGTGTCAAACTACGAATCATTGCACGGTGTGTTACTCTCGGTACCAGCGTGTCGCCCAACACATTACAGAAACGATCAAAGACATGGATGCCATGAGACGCACGTTTTGCACGAATAACAGGTCAATCGCTCTCTAGGCTACGTCTTCAAGTTCAGAAAAACACCGCCATTGGCACTGGTATTCACTAGTTGGATCGAGGATCGATTGGTTTTAACGAACGGCCATACTGCGAGGGGGGGCGAACCTTTGCTGCCCCTAGGACATCACGTCGACAACCTGCCCCTGGTGGTAGAGGTGTGTGGTCGCCTAACCATGGAAGGTCTGCCAAATATTGACGCTCTCTCAAGCCCACCTACGACTTGTGACAGCATTGACTTGCTTCAGGAGCCCGAGATCGGCCAAGCTCCGAATTACACGACCGTCTGGCACCAACGGCTCCTTGTCAATTCCACCTTCACTATTTCAACACAACAAACCCAGGAGCCATCAGCTACTATTGTGGAATCGGAGGGGTTCCCATGCAACGCGGGATTCCTAACTTGCTCGAACTCGAACGTTTGTAACCTCGAAGGACGCTAGGGAACTAAGGCAAGCGCTAGTCAGGTGAGGCAGTCTTCTTGTTTCGAGAATATGCTGTGTGGCAGTGCGTCGCGTATTGAACAGACAGTGGTGCGCGTCAAGTGCGTGTGAGCGTATAGGATTGGTTTGATGCCAATCCTGTTCGTAAAGGGGGGGGATTCAACCACGAAATGGATGAAGCACCGGGCGGCAGAGGGAGACAAGTCACGTAAAAGGAATGCTCAGATCATGATCATGAAGGTCGATGCTTGCGTTGGAAGATTAAGCCAAATATGATTAACCCCTTGAGCGCCCCTATCACAGAACATTCACCCTTACTGAGGTCTGACCTCTCCGCGAAACGCGAGCGGTCCACTAAACGCATGGAACAGATCATACAATAGCCTCCAAATCTTGCCACATGCAACTCAAACCCTGCCCTGTTTGAATCATTTTGATGAAATACAGCAGCTCACACGGCTGCTCCATCCTGGATGGATCAATCCTCAATCCTAGATCTCTTCTTCGTGCCGTGGCACTGGCATCGAAGCATCCCCAACATTCGGTTATATATGTGGTATATCCAAAATATCTGTGTGTATGTCGCTTTCCCCGGATAAAGTACGGAAGGAGGCGCGCCGGGCCTCCGTTGACATTGGGCGTCCGCGCTAGTCAAATGACGGTAATGGTAAGCACAACCATCGTCTGACTTCTTTTGGGGTACTATACACGAAGGTAGTAAACCTTTCATTCCATGCTCACGCAACCTTTACTGAGTCCATGCGTCGCGGCTACATCTGAGTTAGACGTTTACACCCGGGGTAGTAGCATTATGCATCGGTCGAAGGCCATCGTTCAAGTAAGGAGGTCGACTCCGACATCAGACGGCTTATTTGGATACGGCAGATCAGCGGACGTACTATGGCATGTCTGCATGCTGGGCACTCACAGGTCCAACTCTCCCTTTCACGGGGACGGTGCAGAATCAAACCCGGTGCAATGGTAGAAATCTAGGATCATGTACTGTCTTGAAACCACACCGGAGCATCCGTTCAGGCTGAATGAAATATACTACCGAGCGTAGGGCGGGACCAAGATGGGATCCATTCGAGCGGGCCCCGTCCTCATGACCAAGGATCAATCACTCTCCACATCAAGTAATGTCTTGGTTAACATAATTGCGGGTCCAAACGTAGGATAGCCACAGACCCCGAGGCTTCTGCCGCACAAATCATCAAGCCTCGAGGTATGCCGCCGGTCGCAGCAAATAGGACAACTCGGAGAATACGGAGGTCCGAGAAAACCTTGTTCCGGTGTAAGTGTAAGTATTGTTATTGAGCACCCAGCAATGTAAAATGTACATAGAGTAATATCTAAGGGTTGTTGACTCCGCCTAGATGTACGCAGCAAGCGGCAGCAAATATTAATACCTTAAGTGACAATTTCAGACAACGCCCCAAGTATCACATGACTAAGTTTACCTCCTAGTTCAACATTCATACTTTTACAAGCTACGCACTCCATTCTCTTACAGTCATCGCAAACGTGCACAGGGAAAAGCAGTATATTCAGGTATAGAACAAATACAACAAATTTTACATTTGTACAAGGGTTGCACACTGAACTCGGAGGGAAAGGAGAAAGAAGAGCATAATATTCTATCGAGGCATTTACGAAGGCGGGCTGCACAATATGTTAGCTTGTTGAATAAGTGAAGAGCGAGATGTGGGGCGTACACGGGAGGAACGGCGGTGACTGGGCCTATAAAACCGAAGCCAGTTAGCTATGCAAAGACTGGTTGAGGGCTGAAGGAACTTACCGGGGTCGCTGGCGAGAGCTGGGAAGGGTGTAGCAGCTGCATTGCACTGTACGGAGATAGTGGGTAACAATTATTCTGCAATACGCGATAAGACCTACCACGATCTCGACATCAGCCTGACTCTTGCCAGCGGGGAAGGTGGCGGCCTTGGTGAGCGTCTTGGGAACAGGAATAACATCAGAGCAGTCGATGAGATCAGCCTGGTTGTGACCGAGGAGAGAAAGCTTCCTCATGACTTGGGTGAATCTGTTCTGGATCTTCGGCATGTTGTCTAAGTCGTTTTATTAGATCCCACAACGATCAAATATAGACACGGGAACGTAGTACTTACTGACCATGGACTGCCATTCACAGGCACTCCTGGAGTCTGTAGTTGATGTTTAGCGGATGTATCTGACTAAGCGATATGAATATTACCTCGGGCAAGCTATACGGGAGAGGTATCAGAACTGTGGCTCTGCATCGGTCTAGAGTAACATACCAAGAAGTCGGATTGGAGTCTCATTTCACCTGCGAGAGGCGACTCAACTTCACCCTGGTTGCCTGGGGTTCTGAACTTCAAGTTAGCACTACGATCCCGACAGCATCAGCGATGAACAGTTACCCTGGGAAGGCGGTCCCTTGCAACATTGTCTCCAGGAAGAATTGAGAGTCGAACGTAGATGGAGTTGAGTCGAAGGGAGTTCTAAGGATTTATTATTAGTGGGGAATATGTCACGAGCGAGAACACCTTTACCCAGGAATCTATGCACAATGAGGTCAACTAGCGAAAACATCGAGCTTGGCAAAGGGTCACTTACGGAGGGGTCAACAAGATCGGCTGCAGCGATAGTGTGGCTGTCGAAATATCATTGATTTCTAGAAGGTGGATATATGCCGAAGATAGCTTACGAGGAAAGCAGCCAGACGACTTCAACGGTGCTAAATCCAGCGTCACCCATCCTGCTAAGAATCTTATCCACGCTATCTGAAGGCCAAATGAGTTGACGACGTAGTATAGGTTAAGGGTAATACCGAAAGGCTCTGGGACAAGACCATCAGGTGGAATCTGGGTGGCATCGGGGCGACCCAGGAAGAAGTTCAAGCGGGGAGCACCAGCGCAGTTGCTGACGCCGATGGCACCAGCGAATTGAATGCTAGAAGATAATTTTGAGTGCTAATTCTTATGACGAGGGAAAGTGTCGCGACGCACAAGTCGGCAGCACTGATGTTGTGACGAGCGATAAACGGCTTCTGTGCTTCAACAATTTCATCGATGCCCAGGTTGGCATGGAAATTGGGCTCGGTGTCACTGAAGATGATCATAGAACCGTCCGCACCACCGCCTCCGAACTGGCCAGCGCTGAAGATAACTGTGAGTACAGCTGGCGCGATAATCAAACTGGTTGACGTTACTTGGTCAATGCTGGGGAGAATGCAATCGCGTCGTGGAATGTCAAGCGCAGGGACTCGTGCACCTGGACATTACTATGCGTTAGCGGCCAGGTATACAAATACGAAGAGGTATCTACCTCTTCACCACATTGGGCACCGTCAAAGAGGTTGGTCTGTATGTCCTCTAGAATCGGGAACAGGGCGCAGCAAGCCTCGTTGGCGGTCGTTTGGCCAGTGGCACAAGTGACGCGTTTGTTAAGACTAGGTGCGCCTGTTGAAAACGATTAGTCTGGCAGTGTTCCGCCCGAGATGGGTTGGTAATTCACCAAGCGCGACAGTAGCACCAAGAGCCAAGACGAGAGCGGAAAGTTTAGCGAAAGCCATTGCCAGTGACTTGACTGAATGTCTGAGGAGAAATTCCTTTACATCTGCCCCCTTTTATACGCCTTAGGTCGCTGATGCCGGCCAATCACTGAGCCAGCCCTGTTATCTTGCTTGTGTGCATCCTTCAAACTGTACGTGAGGTGACAAACTGTCGGACGTGAGAGACGGCAGAAGTAGCTACGCAGTTCTACACCTTGAGTAAAGGAATGATATTGCACAGGTGTGAATGAGGGGTGCACTTCAGGAGTGACAGCACACGAAACAGTGTATTTTCATCGCCGGTAGTTGCAGTATGGGAAGGACCGTGGTGTAGCTAATCTGTTCATTGCACTCAATTAGATTCGGCACGTAAATAGGGAAGGCATGCATGAACGATACCGAGCTAAAATTGGGATGCAGAAGGTCAAGTTGAAGGTCTGAGTAGTCCTCTATGTTGGCAGACAGAAAGAGTTTCTCTACCTAACGTTCTACCATATGAAGCGCGGACTCCACGAGTACGCAAGGGTGTGAAATTTGCTTGATACCGCTGGACCCGGCTGCGAGGATGAATGGTTTCAGCTGTAAGAAGAAAGATGCGCTGAACTAACGAGGGGTATGCTAAGTGACATCAACGCTTACCAGATGAAAGGATCTCCAACTTGAGTAATATTCGTCTTATGATTGGTTGAGCTATTTCTGGCTGTCGGCAGCGAAGAATGACACCCATGCCAAATCCTTGTCGTCGGTAGGCGTGGAAATTTTGGATGTGTGCGGTCCCATCGCGAAAGTGGTTTGTATGGTATGTTGATGCTCGGAGGCTCCAGGGGTATGCGAAAGGCACATTTGAGACTCGCGGGTTCCCACCGCCCGAAGACGCTATCAGCTAAACATAGCACCGTGAACGTGCATATGGGAGGGAACTTGAAGGCCGAAGGAGAACAAAGAGAGCATTCACTCACATCCGCAAACGCCTCGAGGGGAGGTCGGAGGCTGGTGATCTATACTTTTTTGCTTTGTGCATTAACCAATCGTCGATGTTCTACATGGTCAAGCCTGGGAGCTAAGATGAGATGCCTGGTTACATCGGTACCCCTCGCTATTGGACGATACAATGGGCAGTAGTCAATTATTCGGATAAGACGGCGAGAATCCATGAAAATGGGTCATCGATTCACCGATTCACCACTGATGGCGCTGATAAATGTGAAAAACCTGTGAGTATGTGGCAGAAGCGCTGGTAGAAACGACTCACGAGTCAAAGTTAGAGAAGTCTTGATGGTCGCCGCAATCCAGCAGAACGGAATACTACAACCTTGAGGTATTCATTCCATCACCCTCGGTTTCAATGAGTCGAAAATGTCACATCAGTTTGTTGACGCGTCCAACAATAAGGAGGTTCAACGACGGGGTCATTTCTGCCTTCGAAAAACTCATTCGTCTTGTTAAGCACCAGCATATTTGCCTAAAGCCCCGTCGCATCCTCTTTTCGAAAACTCCAATGAGATGACAAGTACAACACGATGCACACAATACTTTGTGAGGATAAATCAGATTATATACAAATGTCTTGCAGTAGTTAGCGAGGGTCTCGGAGGATATTAAGTTCAAGCGGACATACATTATCAACGTCTGTTCAACAGGCCTAGCAACCCAGAGACTACGTTGGAGGGCGTAGGTGCACCGTTGTGAGCAGACTGTCCACCTGGTTGATTGTATTGATTTGGAGGCGGGGGCTGAGGGTGTCCGGACCATCTACTAGCAGGCGATGGGGCATGAATCGGATCAGAATAATTCTGAGGATAACCAGGTTGAGGTGGTCGCGGTGGTGGCGCATAAGCACCGTAAAAACTCTGAGCATACGAGCCATTCCAATTTGCTGGCGGGGCTGGGGAGGGAGAGGGTCGAGGGGGTGGTTGCATACTGTACCTGAAAGGTTTGGTAGGGTGTGAAAGAGATGCAGTGGATTGCGTTTCAAGTCTGGAAGATGACGAGTGGGGTTGGCCCGGTCGTGTGAGCTTGTTGGGTCGGGGTGGATGGCTTGCCTCAGTGCTGGGTCCCGGTGTAGACGGAGGTGTATTGGCTATAGCGGGTGAGATAGTAGATACATGAGATATGTCGGCAAGGGATATCAACGACGCGGCAGACCTTTAGGTCCCTCACGCTGGTCTTTCTTTTCTTTTTTCTTCTCTTTGTCCTTGTCTTTCCTTTCCTTTTCCTTGAGACCCTTCTCCTTATCTTTCCTTTCCTTTTCCTCCTTCTTTAGATCCTTTGCGGACTTCTCCGGCACCGCCGCTTTGGGCTGCAATTCAGGCATAGGAATCTTACTAATGTGGATTGTGAGACTGTTCGGTGGGGTATACTTGTTGGACTTCGTCTTGTCGTCGTCGCCATCTAGTTTGATTCTCCGAGGTCCCTTCTGGGGAGACGTTATCGTGTCGTATAAAACGTACTGATGAATCTCCTCCTCGACGCCTGGATATCATTAGGGGAAGGTCAGGTCCAAAGGAAAGCACCGACACACCAGCCTTATGGCGTACTCGCTTTGTCTGCTCAACCACCTGAACAACCTTCGGGACTTGCTCAGCCCCTGCAGAACGAATCGTGATGAAGAGAATAGCATCGTCCTACACGATTTAGTCGTCGAGACGAGGGCCCTTAGATCAATACTCACCTGCAACAGATTGAAGCAGTATTGACCATAGTCTTCAATCGAACCTTCCTCTGCAACAGTCACCTCGTTGTATTCGCCTTTTATAGCCTGCATCTCAGCTATTCTGTCGATACCGCCCCTTGGCGTTGGCTTAGGCGGGAGGGTAGGAGGGGCACTTTGTCCAGCGGCCGACGACTCGGCGGCGACCTCGGACATTGTACGTCGAACACCAAAGAACGAAGTACTAGAGGGGGATTCGCCGTCCTTATGGTAGGTATCATTCGCATCATGGAACGTCAACAATGCAGTGAGCATGACGATCTCCAAACCCTTCCTATCATCAATATCGAATCTATTCGCAGACGCAGAGACGTGTGAGTATGGATTGAGGTAAAAAATAGCGGGTTTACCGATTCAGATTGTAGTCTAGGACTTGTATTGAGGAGGTCTTTAGCCGACCAGCAGGCTCTTTGGTAACAGCAACCAGAACCGGAGGATCTGGCTTTCGTAACAAATAGCATTCCTCCCGTTTCCACTCGAATTCGTGTCTGCATCACCGATCAGTATCGCCCACTAGATCACCAAGAACACGTACTCTTCCCACTGGAAGCTCCATTTGAACGACAAAGTGCCCGTGTACTTCAATTCTACTATCTTCGTAGGATTGCAGAGCTCCAACACCTTCACCTTGCTAGTGCTAGCCGGCGCTGTTACCGTCACCAGCAAGGACTCGGACATCGGGTCTATGTTGCTACTCTCTGTATCAAAGCTTATTAGAATGGTTCGTTGTGACGCACCATAAACCTCAACCTTGTACCCAGCAGGATCCACAACCCGCTGTTTCCGATAATGAATCGTCCCGGAAGGTTCGACGAGATCGACGACATTCGGATGGTCTTTGTTCGGAGTAACCACCAACGTGAACAGATTCTTGTCCAAACTCATGACCTATGGTTTGAGGGAGGAACTGTCTTCCCAGTATGTTGCGGAGGGAGGGAAGTTCTGGGACTACATATAGAGTCTAAAGCGAGCACTGCCACATCATTGTGACTGCGATCAAGTTCATGTTGTTGTCACGGGCACCTCGAAGTTTGACTGACCATCGTGAAACGTTCATCGCAAGGGCGGGAGATTACTCGCGAACTTCGCATACTGACCACTGGCGGTTTCACCATAACGTACCCAATTAGTGGTCTACGTAACATTACAGAGGATGAGGTATTCTAACATAGAATGAAATGTCCAACAGACGACTGTGAGATACCAATACAGAAAACAATCATAGCGGCGGCAGAGGTCTTCGACACTGTGGACATATGTTCTATGGACAAGTCAGTACTCATGTTACCGTCAGGGATTCAACTTACTTTGATGGCAAGCCACTATTGCGAAGTTACCGGATGAGCATCGCATTTATCAATAGTTCTAAGATAGCCTGCTTACCTTCTCCAAACACTCCGTGTGCTTTGAATAACCATGATTTAGGATGCCACACACAAATACAAGAGTCAAGATTTTACTCACAAACAAATGGTGACACGGTGCCAAACTGTAGCTCTTCCTCGCTGTCGCCCCACCACCAACCATTCGCTTCTGCATCGCGCTGAAAAAGCCCGACGTCCTAGCCTTCACGTTGGACTTGCTGGAGGACATCTGGCGCTCAAGTTTGTCCTCCGACCTTCGCCTCAACGACGAATCAATGAGGATAGCATCCATGCAGATGGCGCAGTCGCCGAGAGACTGCTCCGGAGCCTCCGCATCAGGGAGAGGCAATACAGGATGGTAGTCATACACGTTGACCTGTTTGAACTGGAAACAACGGACGGCGATCGGTGCATGATGATATAGCAGAGAGGGAGACAAATACATACCCGTGCAGGGAGGAAGAAATCTGGGCCAAACCGATCCTGAAGCAGTACTACTCCTACTTGCGCGAACACAAACATCGCAAGAAGCCAAGTCCATTCTAACAGACAGTATGATTAGCAGGTACGTCAGTGATGAGTTACATAAATCTCACGTCGAGGCTGGACTTCAAGAACGTTCTTTGGGCACACAAGGAAGTCTACCGGTCGAGACCGTCAGACCATACCGCGCGGTTGATAAGGGTGGAGAACGTACAGAGCATTAGATACACCCTACACGCTGAGGTTCCCAGCAAATATTCCTTGCTTAACCCACTACCTCTACCTCGACGGGCGGATCTGATGATCTGCGGCATCCATATCGACGAGTACGAGAAGGCAACATATAAAACCCCCATCACAGGCGACAATATGACCCTCACGAGAACGATAACAAATAGGAACAAGGCAAACCCTTGATAATGATGGTAATGACGCGTGAGTCAGTTTCTAAATGATCAGGCTTGAGCACGTACAAACTTTGATCTGCGGATCACTGGTGATGAACCGCCAGAATAGCAATAAACCAGGTGTTTCAGTGGCAGCGGTGTTGGTAGCGGTGGCTGGCTGCGGCTGCGGCCCAACAACGGGGGGCGTAGGGACGATCGCCGTTGGCGCCGCTTCGGTAGGTGGGTTAATAACGGCGGATGGATTGACATTAGGCGTGGGTTGGACTGTAGGGACAGAGTCCTCCGGAAGCTGAACTTGATATACCAGGATCGCAAATTGCTTTGCATTTATGTCAGCCAGGACGACGATGATAAAGACGAGATCACTCACAGCTTCGTGAATGAACAATGTGCAAGCCAAGAATGCGGGTGCAACCAAACTAAGCGACGCTCGGCCGTCGAATAAGATGGCGAATGTAATGTGCCCAGCGAAGGATAGAGAATCCATAGTAGCTTGAAAGAGTAGAGTCCACCGCGAAACCCTCGCAATTCCTGACGGAGTGCGGCTAATCTCCATTTGCCGTATGAGGAGGAAGAGGAGAATAAGATATACGATCCCTGCTGTCGCAGCGTCTGGAAAATGTTGAATACAATAGTGAAGGGCGCGACAAGCGTCAAAACTCACAGGTGGTGACCTTGCGGAAGAAGGTGCGTGACCTAAAAACGGTTGAGCGACTTCGTCAGCAGGACCCAGAAAATAGCAAACCTTAGTCCCTCTGCTTCATGAATCTCGTAGAGTATCCCACAGTCCTTAGAGAGAAATAGGGCATCGACAGCAATCCTAGGCGGTTCAACAGTGGACGCTCCTGTAGGTTTCTGTATTTCTTCCTCTAACTCTGTCATAAGATATTGAGGAACCTTTGAGGGTACAAGATGGGCTTGGAATGTAAATGAGCAATTTGTCTTGATACCTTCGTCTATTGGATATCAGTATGGGTGCTCGGAGACAAGGACATGGAAGCTAACCAGGATTTGGGGCGTCCGGGTCAACTACAATGTTTCCGTCGTCGATGAGCTGTTGTAGTTTCTTGATGCGAGCCTCAATCTCAGGCTTGATCATGTCTGCCGTAGCATTCTTGTGTGGCTCTGGGACAAGCGATGGCAACAAACGAATGTCGATCTGCCGTCTGGCCAGGGAAGATTATGATCCTTGGGTGGTAGCTTCAAGTCTGGCGTGACTTACCCGTTAGGTAACGCGAAGCCGTAAAAGGAGCCATTGGTAATGAAGTGGATTGCTTCGAACTCCAGCCTTAGCTCATCCGACGTGTTGATGTCGGTGAATTCGATCCTCCCCTACAGGTATTTTGGCTGTCAGGCTCTATGTCAGGGAGGGTATGGTACGTACGTGTGCGAGGGCCACATCGTCGCTCAATCTCTGACCCGTTTGAGGATCTACAGTCGGCTTCTCGACGAGGCTCAATGCCACCTTCTCCGATGCAGTCCAGTTCCAAGAGCCCGCTCTCTCCGAAGCTTCGGTGATGTTCAGTTCAGAAGTGTATTCGACGGCCAATGGCTTCCAAGGTACCGTTTCCCCGGCTAGACTGAGTAGAGTAATATTATAGGCTGATCCTTCTCCTCGGAGAAAGCCCGTGATGTTTGGATGGTAAGAGGCCCGGTTTGGATCCTGCAGATGGCCATGATGAAGGAAGAAATCTACAAGAGGTTGGGCGGTTACATCGACATCAGGCTGCTGAAATTAGCCATAGAAACGTGAAGTATATGGCCGGACGTACGAGAGAGAAGTCGGACTCCGTGCCGTTCCTCCACGCAGTGAAGTTGGAGAGTTGGTATGACAGAGAACGAAGAGCATCCTGATACTGATGCCTAGCTAGAAACTCGTCGCCGCTGTGGTTCGTGAGCATGAAGAGGACGAAGCTGATGAATAGGAATGAAGGGACCGAGCCCCGTTGCCGCTCTCGTCCGTTTACGGTGCCATTATCGTCGTTGCGAGGTGTGTCGTCCGCAGGCATTCTGAAATGGAATGTCAGGTTGCGAAAATGTCAGAACTGCACCACATACAACGACGAGGGGGGTGGAGAGACACGTCGGGCACTGTGATCAAGGTGTGGCCATAAGCGGGATAAGTGACTCACGGTCATGGCTACGTCACGCGTCACGGTCGCGTTGCCGAATTCGACCCTTGGCGGGAGCGATGCACGTACCGACAGGATCCCGCCGTTGGACGCATTTCAACTCAGCCCTTCAACTCGCCATCCAACGTTCAACACACAAGTGGACGTGTGTACTCCATTACACTCGCCTTTCGCGTCGCTTGACTCAACCTTCATCGAAACAGATTCGAGGCCTTCACAGAATGTTTCCCCCTCTACGTCGAGGAGGAGAAGAATGGCCCTTCAGCAGTGTTTAACGCCATATCGGGGCATATGGAGTCCCAGATGCATGTCAGTCATTGCCTTTCACGCCCACACCCCGATGTCAACTGACTGTGTCCACGCAGGCAGATTTGGAGGAGCTCTTCGCGAAGTACGGAGTCCAGAAAAACATCGACATCCTACACGCCATTGTCACCGACGCCAAGGAACGAAGCCGCCAAAATGAGACGCGTAACGATATTTGGAGAGAAGACCTTGACCCGCATAACGCTGTGAGTGCCCGCTCTGTACCCATTCTCCAGAGCGAGGCGCAGAGGATCCGGGAACTGGTTGCAGAGGTACGTTTCCTTTGATTTTGCCTTGCGCCTACCGACCGTGCCCGCAGGAAGCAGAGAGAAACAAACGACTTCAAGCCGAGCTCGAAGAGAATAGGGCCGTGCAGGAGAGTGAGAGTGAACAAGCGGCAATGCTACTTGACAAAGTTGCTCGAGTAAGCGATACAGTGCTACTGCTTCAGCTTGCTAACGGGGCTGCGGTGCAGATAAATGCTGCTTGTGCGAGTATACCCCAGGCGGAGATCGAAGAGTGGGATATACAAACTGCAGAATCTTTAAAGGCACTATAGCACTATGTATCTTGATTGTATTGCATGTATGTATCATCTTAGTCAATTTTGCGAACGTTAAAAAACTTGCGTTGACCACCATCAAGCACTGAATATATTGTTTATTGGCGAAGGGGAGCTTGTATCCTAGGGCAAGGGCGCCTGTCACCTACTCTAAGGTCAAAGTCTGGGTACCCAGATTGAAAATTCTAACCAGAGTCCAGTAACACAAAAAATTTGCCAATCCCGCGTTCCTCGTAGCCGATTTGAACGACTGACCTCCTCATTACTAGTGAGGCGCTCTACCAACTGAGCCAACGAGGACTTGAAAACATAGGACAGTTTTGGAAGCATAGTGTGCTGATCACAAGATAGGAAGATCTTCGGAGAAGCATCTGCTCTCATCGGCCCAGATTGACCTGTAAATAACTCCTCGTTGGCTCAGTTGGTAGAGCGCCTCACTAGTAATGAGGAGGTCAGTCGTTCAAATCGGCTACGAGGAATGCGGGACTGGGTGGATCTACTTTTTCCTCCACGTATGACAGAGGAAGTTAGTCCTGGTGCTCCCGCAGGAGTCGCAGAGCAAGTATTCGATGCTGATGAAGAGGCGAGTATCCTATTTATCTTAACTATCGGATCACCGCGCCAAATTTCCTTCCGCGAGATACCATCGTATCGTCGAACCTGCGACTCACTTCGTCTCATCGTAGGTCTTCTTGCTCTACTCGAACCTTCAGGCGTCTTCGTCAAGCACGCCAGACACTGGCTTTCGTGGCCTCGGTCACGTCGACTCCAAAACAGATACCCTAATCGTCAAGATCGAGCTAACAGCACCGCTATCTAAATCAGGCACCACTAGTGGTAGCACCAAGGAGGCCACGAGGAAGCACCACAAAAAGGCCACTTCCAAGAACACCATTCGATCGGACATCTCACTGGAGGTTGAGCTATGGCAGGACAAAACCGCTTTGCGTAGCAGGAAAGGGGATACCGGCAGCGTTTTGTGGAAGGCAAGGTAAAACCCAAAACGTTTGTCGCTATGATAAGGGACTAAATGTATTGCTGAAGCGTCGATTTTGCGCAGATCATCCTACAACAGTTGTATTTTGGTAACGCGGGCGATCGGCCTAATCTGCTAGATGCTGAACGTCTCAAATCATCCCATGTTCTGGAGCTTGGGTAAATCATTCACCGATAAACTGCATATGCGCTGCCATTGCTTAGTTTCTTCGCACTTGTATTTGTGTTCGACACAGAGCAGGCACAGGTCTACTCTCCATCCTGCTTTCACCGTTCGTAAAGCGTTACACAGTAACTGATATCGAAGCTCTCGTCCCCCTTATCCGAAAGAACATATTGAACAATAACATCGACCACATACACGCAAACCTTCCTCCCAGCATCAAAACCACCGTCCACCAGTATACTTCCAATATAACCGTACAGACCCTTGACTGGCTCGACCTCCATGCCCTAACGAGCCCCACTCTCCGCACGAAGTACACCTCTGCAGTCTCTCCGGAACCTGTAGACCTGCTTCTCATCGTCGATTGCATATACAACCCCTCGCTATTGCCGGCTCTCATCAGTGCAATTGATACTCTGACTGTCCCTGAACAGACGATTGTTCTGGTTATCGTGGAACTCAGAGCCGAAGACGTCGTTCGCGATTTTCTGACATTGTGGTTAGCCGTGGATTCTTGGGTCATACGACGGATAGAGGGCTTCTTGAAGGGCCCTTATGCGGTATGGACGGGCGTGAAGACCCGTTGAACTCACTTTGTTTCAGGGTAGTCGTATAGATTGCATCTCGTACAATACAAGGTTTTCCATTTAGTAAAACAGCTATTAGTAAACATACGAAGTGAGTCTGTCGTCTGCCGAGCGAAATCATTCTATATAATCGTCGTCGTCGTCGTCATCATCATCATCATCGATGGGGATGAACCTCTTTCCATCTCTTACCTACCGCAAAGTGAGTAGCATGAACGTTAAGGGCATTGCTCACTTACGAATGACCGTTGCCTCTCTCGCATACTGGGTGCCATTCCAGAGTTAGCGTTCGTCGCCGTAGAAAAGGTTCCTGATTGGATCGTAGATGTAGACCGATGCGGGGCTGTGAACGTCGACATCATCATAGTCGTGCTCCTCGTCATGGGTTTCTGAACTGGGGGAGGGGGAGGTGGTGGTGGTCGAGGGCGCAATCTAGGAGTACCATCCCTCGAAAGCACCTGCGTTGAGACAATGTTCAGCGGTCGGGGTCGGACCGGCGTTACAAACGATGCCATAGGGCTGAGGTGCAAGTTGGTAGGCAGACGTCCAGATTTTGTCGCGGATTCTGGTTTGGAGACGAGCCTTTTGCCTCGAGTCGCACTTGTTTCCTGCGGTAGATTTGGCTTGAGTCCAGGGTGGTTATTTTCCTTGGAAGCCCCAGAAAGCTGCGGCCTACTTCCAGCAGCCGTACGGCATCCAGGGGAGGGCCACTTCGTCTTAGTCGGTGCCGGTGCAAGCGAATCAACCAGAGCATTCGACGGTGGAGCCGGAGTCAGTATGGTTTTTTTGGTGGCAGTGGGAAGGCACGAGTCAGTAGAGGGTGGGAGAGGCTTCCGGGAAACAAAGGTTGAAGTTATTTTAGGCTGTATCTTCGGCATAGAGCTGGAAGTAGACAAAGAAGGGTTAGCTGGAGCGTGCTGGGAGTCGCCTTCAGGAACGATGCGAACATCAGAGGTCCGTGATAAGGCTGTGTCCGTGAGACTCCCGCGAGAGCTATTCTCGCCGCTGTCTTGAGCACTAGGGTTGGTTGTTCCAAGGAGATCCAATTGGTCGCTCGCGATAGGGCCTATTTCTACCCGTGGTCTTTTCGCGTCCTGGACCATAGCCGTCCTTGTGTTGCCGACCAGCCCGAGATTGGCCCTAGGACTTCCACACCGGGATCGTTTCCTTCCAATCAGAGGAGCGGGAGAAACCGATAGACGATTTGCTGTTGAGGATGCTGTTGAGGTTCCTTCCTCGAAGGAGCGCCTGGGAGATGCAGAGGGCAAGTCGGAGTTTGCGTGAGGAAGAGGCGTTATGTTCACATAGGATCGAACGGTAGCAGAGATTTGATCTTTAGCAGAGTCAATGTGTATTGGAAGCGCTTGAAGCAGAGGCAGCAATGGAAGCAAGGCAGAGAGGAGAGCATTTTGTTGGTTTTGTATAGCTTGAAGACCTTGGCTATGAGATTGATAGAGCTGACAGATCCTTGAGCATAAAACTGAAATAGTTCAGGACGTGGAACTACCACCTACTAAATGTATAGCATCCAGGCGATGGTCCAGGCCTTGTATTCTGAGGTCAGTTGAAGAAAGTTCCTTTCGCAGCGTCTCAAGTTCGTTGGCTTGTGCTGGAGATGCTACCGTTTTCTGCACTTCGCGCTGAGACCTGTTCACTGCATATAAGAATTTCCGATGAATATGTGGGTCTTAACAGAGCATATATGGAACATTACCGAGGTCGATGATTTCCATGCTGAGTTTCTCGTTCTGTTCCTCGAAGAGACTCTTCACGGTCACAATTTCTCGCTTGGTCGATTCAATACAGTTTGTCATTAGATCTATTCGCCCAGAGAACTTCTCGAAATTAGCCTGAGTATCATGGAGCAGCATTCGCATGGAGGTGCCTGCCCGGTCCAGTGGGACGATGGGAGGATTTAACGGATCCGATGAGGTACCAGGAGTGCTTGAGGGGGTATCCTTCCTGAGTAAGTGAGCCCAGAGCGCCGTGGACGTCGAGCGCGAAGATGCCATTGGTGTTGAAGCGAGCGTGAGGGGGAATCAGAGAGAGAGACGGAAACCCAAATCCGAGGTTAGGGTTAGAGCTCGCGCGTCGGTTCCCAAAGCGGCTGTCAAGCCAATTCTTGCAATGCTCCGAGTCCCCGCCTTCACAAGATGCTGCACCCGGCCGTCTGTCAGGCTCCCATCATGGGCACTTGGGGCTCCTTCGCGCTCACCTCGCCGCTTCTTGTCCGATAAAGTTCCTACCCGACCACCGCCGTCACCGCCGAAACCAATCAACCCCGAAATCCCTTCATTCCGAGATACAGTCATCCGAAACAGCGCATACAAATCGTTCAGCGACTTCAATGTCAAACCTCGCTGCAGAAGTCAAATCATGGCAAGTATGGTCGCTTGTCTTCGTTGTGTCAAAGCTAATGAGCATACCACTAGTTTTTTCTCGGAGTCTCTACGTTTGGCTTCATAATGGCCGCTGCTAACACCGACGTCGAAACTGAATACTGGGTAAAGCGATTGTCTTCCGGCTGGAGATCTGCTACGCTAGGGAATGCCGACTTAGTCAAGGCCCAATATGTACAGCTCGGGCAGGTAAGCATCCAGAATCGTCTCCAGACGCGTCCCCTCATTCGACAAAGGAATTACAATCCGGGCTAGAGCGCATGAAAGAAGTGTACCAGAGTATCCCCCTCCTCCTCCAAGTCTACATCACCAAAATACACGTTACGGTCGCCCAGACATACCTCGATAACAACGAGGGAAAACGGATATGTTGGAAGATATGTCTGCTGAATGCCGCCGTATACGCCGCTTGGAAATTCAGGCGTTTCCAACCCTTTATGAACCTACGCTTCATGCATCACCCCCTCTCAGGCATGTCTTACACGCTTTTGACAAGCATGTTCAGGTAACAAATACCAGTCACATAGCTGGCAATCGCTGATTTACGACCCGTCTGTAGTCACCGCTCTTTACCTCATCTACTCTTCAACTGTCTGGCCTTAGAAAGCTTCGGTATGTAGCGAATCCTCAGCCTTTGCATTTTGATATCTCATCTCGATATAGGTGCTGCCGCCGTTCATTACTTCAGCAAGGAACAGGCCAAACACCAGCCCGACCAACTAGAAGCAACGCCGAAATGGCATTTCCTCGCCTTTTATACATCTGGTATGTGAACAACCTCCCTATTCAAGTGCCCCCCCATGTAAACCAGCTGGTAGCGGGCCTCTTCGCCGGCTTGGTATCACACATCATCTCCACGAAATGGCGGTACCCACGAATCATCGCTCAAGCACTGTCGACATCGAAAGCCGCCACTGCGACCACCGCCACCGCTGCTGGCGCAGGTAAGGTACTGCATTTAGACCAATCATACATCTAACAGTTTCCGCGTATAGCTTCGACGGCGGTGGCATCAACTGCGGCCAAGGCATCAGCTGGCGAAATTCTTCCCTCTCTGGGTGCATCAGGAGCCATTTATGCTTGTGTAACGCTCACAGCCCTCGCTTTCCCCGAAACTGAGATAGCCCTCTTCATACCGCCCACATTTCCAATACCCATACAATGGGGAGTAGGTGGTATGCTAATGATAGATATCATTGGAGCAGCAAGGGGATGGAGGTACGCTTCGCCGCCTCTGTCATCTTGGTGTAACGCTAACGTTCATCTGATGCAGGGTTCTTGATCATTGGGCGCATCTTGGAGGCGCAGCTTTTGGTATTTTCTATTACGTTTACGGTCCAGATTTCTGGTCCAACCTGAGAGAAAATATCGAGGACATGGAGGATGACGCGGATGCATCATAGAGATACATAGTTTGGCTTATTGTGTCGAAATTACATAGTGTATCTAATCAACCATAACTCTCTCCTCAAGGGGCGTTACTGCTGTGCGCCTAACACGGTACGCCAAGTTGTTCAGGGCGCGCCATCCAGATCTCGACAGGAAACCCGCTTGCACCTTCTCGTTCCCCAACTTTCCGGAAATCGATACCAATCTCCTTGACCATGTCCCACAACGTACGCTCCGCCTCGTCGCGTTCTTTGTATCCAAGCAAGAGTAAAGGCTGCTTCCCCGAACGCACTGAGAGCTTCACAAGCCTCTCTAGTGTTTTGACCAACGCCTGGAATGACGCGGTATTGTAAGTTACATCCGCCATTCTGTCAAATGCGTAAGAATGCGCCATAAATTCGTGAGGGCATTTGGTGACTGACACAATTAGCTCTGCCCCATCTGTCTTTTGAATTACGTCCGGAAGCTCTTCATCCCAGTCAAGCGCGAGAGGTATTGGTGGTCGACGCGGGAAACACGAAGGCGTATTTATTTCGATATTATGCTCCAGCAGTGGTAGGGCAGAAGCTAATCGTTATCATGAGCCCACAGCCGCGTTGCACCTGCTTCGGAAATAACTAACGCACGGAGATCGGTAGCGTATATTTTGGCTTTGTCTTCGTCTTCAGATATGGCCGTTGATCGAGATGCTGCGATGACCAACGAAACGATGCCCGTGCCCGTGCCTATGAACGCGAGCTCAGGCACTTGGCCACACACATTCCAACAGATCGACAAACCGAGTTCTATTACTGTCGCTGTTGTAGACAGTACTGTTTCCATAACTTCGTGTGCTAAAGAAGGATGCCCAGACTCCGGGATCGAGTTCATCACACCCAATATCCACGCGCTGAGCCCGATTCCGCTGTCCCATATTTTCTGTTCGTCGTCAAATTAGTTCAATTATTTTGTTTGGAGGATACTAGACCGAAAAGGTACCTTATCGAGATCGAACGATGTCTGCTCTACGATCCTCACCGTGCGTGGAGGTGTGGCATCGATAGATCGTCCGGGGGACGAAAACCGGTAGATCCTCTCGATTTTCTCGTGTTTCGTGAGTCCCGTTCGCCCCCCTCTAGCAGAGAACAGGATGGGCATCGAGACGACCGGGAACGGCGTCTTTCCGAGGGTCTCCCTGTCGGGTCCGCTGGCATGCCATAAGTCTATCATCGCAGAGCTATGACCCCTGTGTTGACCATTCACGGTAATGGCCAGGCACCATGTCGAGCCGTCTTGCACCCCCGGAGGCGGGGGGATCTTAATCTCCTTGTATAAGTTCGCCGGACGCCAGGTAGTGAGTTTTGTTGGCTTTCCTGGGACGGAAGTGCTAGGGCTTGCCCTCGTGCTTAATATATCGGCGCATAGGAGGGTTTTGTAATCCGCTTCGTGGATCCATGAGTAAAATAGATCGTGTTCATCCGGGCAGAGCTCTGTCCTGAGATCGTTGGCAACTTGAGGTGTGAAGGATACGGGGGTTGTGAGGGGTGCTATCGAAGGGGGAGGCCGAAGGAAAGAAACGTAATAAAACATCTATATAAATTGAGAAGTAAATGATCGACTTCCATATAGAGGCGTACTTAGGGTCCTAGGGTGTTCGTTCAGGGGACGTGACAGGAGTTGGATGTCACTGGCTCTGCTTCCTCGAACTTCGTCGCATTCCACCATACACGAGCACTTAATACTATGGCACGAACAAAGGCCCAAGCACGACAGTCATACTCCAAGGCTGCACATGGTAAAGTCTTCGTTTATAACATCCAACATCAAAATTGACTTCTTGACACATAAACTCAAGATCAACAGCCAGCTACTCCGAACCCATCGAAGCAATACCAGCAAGGAAAAAAAACGCCTACATCCACTCCTGTGCTCAGAATGCATCAAATAGGGATCAAAACCCCTAGGAAATTCCCAGTAACCCCTGCTCACGTCGCTATTGCCACCACGTCCAAACCGTCGAAACGACGCGGCACGCTCGTTTTGAAGGAGGTCCGTAAACTACAGAGTTCCACCGACTTTTGTATTCCCCGGATGACCTTCCAGCGCCTGGTGCGAGAGATAGCACAAGAGTTCAAAGTAAGTTAAAAAAATAAGATTCATTCTAGTGTATCAAGTTGCTCATTCACCTTATTCAAATGCAGCTGGACCTCCGTTTCCAATCGACCGCTCTACAGGCGCTCCAGGAAGCCGCCGAAGAACATCTTGTCAGTCTGTTTCAAGACACGGTTCGGTGCGCTGCCCACGCCAAACGGTGCACCATTCGTCCAGTGGATATGGCGTTGACGCGCCAAATCCGACACCAAACTTGAGCCAACCTGCTTGCCCATTTCCACATGTACTAGATCTTATTACCAACGGCCGTGCAACAACGTTAGAATATGTGTCGAATTTGTTATGGATCCGTTGCTTTACGTACAACTTGGTTATTGAGTATTGCATAAAGTTGTATGGCAGTTCTATTTGACAGTCCCGCTCAATGTAACGGCTATCTACAGTTCCTAGCACGTCTGCGTCTTGCCTGATACACTTCTTGAACGGAATGCAGGAACCTTGGAAGCCCCTGAGTTGTGCTAAGGGTGACCAGGAGGGCAGCGGAGGTTCGCTCGTTCACGAGATCTCATCCTCAATTTGAATATCGAGGAGGAAATTAAGTTTGTATAGTTTGTGAGATTTAGCCGAGTGTTAAGTTTTTTACTACTTTATACTGCACTACCAAGCCATTATAAGGCCTGCCGTAGCCGCTAGACTGGTCCACCACGAAACCGCCACCCTCCCAGATCCATTGCGTTCACTTCTGAGACCGCCAGTAGCGGAAACTGTCGCGGCCACTGAGCCAATTGTTGGATCCGGGACGAGACCGTTGACACCGTTCTGTGCTAGCGCCGCCGCCGATAGCTCAGCAAACCCAACCGACGGCGGGTCGTAGCGGAAGACAGAATAAACATTTTTCTGGAAGCAATGAGATGACTCGAAAGAGATATATGTATGTAAACTTACTAGGAACGTGTCCCCAACTATCCAACTTAGCGAGCTTGTCCCAGTGGTCGTGCCAATCTCGAAGAATGCACCGACGCAACGTTCACCGTCTACTGAGCGTTGCAGGATGAAGTCAGCTGGGCTGATGGCCCACGTCCGACCGCCAAAATTCATCGTGACATTTACGGAAGTGTCGCAGGCTGAAGACGAACACAATGGGTTAGGCGTGCAAAACGTCAAGACGGAAAAGACTCACGATAGGTCCAATAGCCATCGAGGTTACCCGTCGCTGGCGATGAATCAGGTATTTGAGCGAAGATGTTGGCAATGGCGTCGCTTGTCCCTCCGACAAGGGTTGTCCCAGTATCAATAGCGGCATATGAGCTATCCCCCGTAGGAATAGAAACGGTATTGCCCTGGACAGTCAAAGCTACATATCACGCTCAGCGATAGGGACGAAATTCACGGTGAAATATGCTTGAACTCACTCTCGAGAGGTATCAACCAATACGACTCCTTCCCCGAAGGAATGTTGACGTAGTCAATATCACCGGTATACAGGCTAGAGTTCACGGCTCCCATAGTGAACGTGCCACCAGGAGCAAGCACATCGGCGGAGGTATCGTTGATGAATCTAGCGCAAACGAATAAGATCGGAGTCGGTGGAGGCAAAATCCAACCAAATGTACCTGGTCAGCTGGAATGCCATGACCGGCTGATCCCATGCACCATTTGAGACGAGGGTTTGCCAAAATGGCTTCGCTTTTGATGAAGCAATCGACTCCCATCCTAGCCCTAGGAGGCCTGAGACGGGACTATTGAGTAGATTGGCAGAGACCCGATCGCACACGCCTACACCGAAAAGCTGTAAGCGTATATAATTGAGGAGATACGAACTGCGTACCGAAAACTTGATTAGGGACCGAAAAGCCGGCCATCTGAACGACATCTTGACCCAGGGAGCCCTGGGCTCTTCCACTTCCGTACTGAATTGAGAACGTTTCTGATTGGTTGACGAAAGTTGATGACGACGAGGTGTCGAGTGTAGGGACATCGGTGCACCCCGTTATGCAGTCGTTGTCGGCCAGCCATAAATCGCTGGACGTACACTCCTGTGAGCGGCCAGTATAAGCGAGTAAGACATCCAAACTTACGAAGAGCCGGTGTCAAGTATCACGTTGAACGCAACCGGAGGTGTACCGATAGCTAGTGAACCAAAGAAGCTACGCCGTGATTCATTCGTGAATTGAAGGCGCATATATGTACTGCACCAACCTTGAGTCTAGGTTTTGGTTGACGAGGCTAAGAGGGCAACTGTGAACAAGAGGCAACCTGAGAGTAAGAGATCACTTACAGATTCGTTCCCTCTGCCCGCTTTTGTGATGAAGATGTTCCAAGATACTTAGTCCTCAGCATATCCCGGTGCAACTTCGCCCAAGACGCAAACTCCTCTGGCGTTCTACGCGGCTGTGATTGTCGCTTCAGCGCGACATGTTGGATAGATTCAGTGCTAGGCGATGGTGAGGCGACGACTAGTGTTGCGAGAGCAGCAAGGCCCAAAGGTAAGGTAGAAAGCATTATAAAGCGATATGAATAGCAATGTGGGAATGAAGGGAGAATAGAGGTGCTCGGCCAGCGAGAAAATGTGGGGTTTATGTAGTCAAGAAGAAAGGAGATGAACCACTATGATCAGGTCGGACCACTGCTTTATACTGCGGGATGCGATCGCACGCCAGCCGCATTTCCAATTTGGGCCACATTACGACGCGATCATCGTACCAGCTGCGAGCCAGGAGGCAGCAAGAGTCAAGCGGTTCGGCAAAGCTTTCGGTGCAACTCCAGGAGAGAGCTTAAGATCATACATGAACGCAAGATGAAGACACGACACCATCACAGCTCCTCATATCTGACGGAGCAAGTGCGTTGAAGGGCTAAAAATGTCCGGGATCCGTGCGGTATTATTAGCGGAAGACGCTCAGTTGGCCAGTATCAGGGAGTGAGGTCAGCCGCCACGATCAAGTCTCCAGCGCGGCAGAGTGGACAGACAGACAAGCCGAACTACGCAAAGCACAGCAGTCAGCCGGGCCCGTCGCCAATGGTTATGCCAGCCTCCCAGAGTCAAGGTGGGTCGCCGTGTTCCGCAGTAACTTCGTTTTCGAGACTAAATGTTACCATCTATGATCTGATTGATAACCAGCCAAGTCCAAGTGGGGCCGCCGCATCGCTTCATACAACATCGGAAAGAAATCGCAGAGGAAGTGTAAGAGAGGCCCCAAAAGCTGTAACTCTGCCCAGCGCTGGCCGCGGTGTCAAGGTTCACTGTTCAAGGGCGCCCAGCGCCATCACGAAAGGCTATCAATCATCACGTGTGCCCCCCTGGCCATGATTAGGAGCTGGGGCGGGTTTACGCCGTTTACAGTTGCTCCCAAAGAATGATTTACATTGTTTTGTTCTTAGTTCTACCTAACAACGCCGCACAGCAGTGGAAAACTCTTTATCCAAGGAGAAGACGAAGCTTCGCGAAATCTGGAGTTCCCAAACCGGTCGCCTAGAACAATTAGGTACATGTTAGCAACCAAACTCTTCCGAATTCTGAAGAGCGTCAAAAAAGAGCTTACGGGATCCCATCCAGCACGAGCGGGGAAGCCATTGGTTCCACATCCTGGGTTGCTTCCAGTCACAATGTCGTTGAACCCAGTAACACCATCGGAGTAGATCAATGGGTTGAGGAAACCCAGAACACCTTTCCCGTTGGAAATTCTGACGTCGTTGATCAAAGCGACGATGCCCGCGACAGTCTGGACATTTCCTAGCATTAGTATATGCACACGTAGGGGAGTATTTGAACTTGCAGGGCAACTGGCACTGGTACCACCAACGGAGATCGCTCGTCCACCTACGAAGACTTCGAAGCGGTTGGCTTGGGCAGAGAGATCGGGGTAAGCGCGGCCAGTAGTGCTATATCATCGATGATTACCTCACAACGACAACGCAGAGGGACAGGATTGAGAACGTACTTGAAAAGGCCAGCGTTGGTGTTCCCAAGGATTTGCAGGTACCTCGAAACAGCGGTGTCCTGGTATGCGGGGCGAGCGAATGTGTTAGAGAAGCCTCCGCCACTAAAACCAATAGTGGTTTCAGTCAAACCCGTCGTCCCGCCAACCTGTTCGGGAGGTTCGTTCAAAATCTTTCTTGACTGGAGGTTGTACATCGAGTATAACTCACAGCGGTTACGAATGGGCACGAAGCAGGAAAAGCGGGTTGGAATTGGACACGGTTTCTGCCATCATTGGTTCTGCAATCTCCTCCGCCCACACTAATAACCGGTCGACAAGGCGATTTTATCATGATTGAGGAATTAGACTTACCCTGAGTCACCACTGGAAAAGAGAATGGTGGAACCCCGTGCGGTGAGCTTGGCGAAAAGGTCACAAACGGATTGTCTGTAGTCCAATGGAATCTTTGGAAGCCATCATCAGCAGCCTTCGAGGGGCCTGAATATATTCTTACAGTTTGCTCGTTCTCTCCGTAGGACGTTGTGAAGACAGTCGGGATGGTGCTTTGAGCCAGGACGAAATTTACCCAGTCAAGATAAGGTTCGTTGGTATTGGTGGATTGGGTCGAATCGGGAATGAAAGGAGGTCGACCGCCTGTGCTGTAGTACGTCACTGGGATGGGGGCCGCCATACCAACGACATATTGAATATCAAGATTAGCCTTGTTTCATTGAGTAGGTGAGAATGCTTTCAATCATACTTAGAGATATAGAGACTTACCTCGACACCTGGGTCGTTTTGGTCGTCCTCGCCACCGTTGATGAGTGTTGTTGTGTATGTGAAGCCTCGGCTGGCAGGTAACAATTGGTTAAGGAAGGTCTGTTCCAGAGTGGCTCTTAATCTAATGAATCCGCGAAAGGAGGATCTATGCGTACCTGGAGATCGGCACGATTTCCAAACTCTTCAAGATAACCAGCAATACCGATACGCTGACTGGCCGGGTTGACGGGGGAGAAGCCTGTGATATTGTAGAACGCCTTCAAGCAAGCTGGTGTGACAGTGGTCGCGCAACTAGCAGGCGGAAGAGCGGCGGGGGCGTTGACGTCCTCCACAAATGCCTCCTTGGAAACCTGGATGTCGGGATTCACGAACGAGTTAGACTTCATAGCGCGTATGGTGCCGAAATATGTGGTTGGCGTAACCAGGTTGATGTGGGAATGCAATTCACGGGGAAGGGAGTACGAGAGGGCGCGGACGATGTAGTCTTCGGATTTGAGGTGATGGTAGACGCCGTACTTAGTGTCGAGCATTCTTTCAGCAACTGACACGGGGATGCGCAAGGTGATCCAGTCACCACCTCCAGATCGGTCGATAGCTTCGTCGGGATTGACGCCGTGGTGTTGCAGCCATGCCTCGACAGCTTCCACGGAGTCCGGGTGAGGGGCACTCAAGGCATCTACCTCCTCCTTGGAGAGGTATTGACCATACCTGACAGCATTATGAGAAATATGATGGGGTGCCGGACTACAGAACATACTTAGGGTGTTTGGGATCACTGACTTCGTATAGTTGAGTGATCAGGTCGTCCATCTTATGAGACTTCATGCCAATGCGTAGATCCAATAGACGCGACGGAGATGGAGCGGAATGGTACACCCATCCCTCTGGGATCTCGGTCCACGAATGCTTGACTGCAAGGTCGTCCCATCGCCTGGCATGAGGCGAAGCTAGCACAAACTGGGCCAGCGCAAGGACGAGCAACTTCGACCAATACATGGTGAGAAAATTCGCCAAAGGGTGTCTAATATTTACCCTCCTATGCCGCCTTTATACTCATTTCGGAGAAGCAACCGTGAATATTGTTATCTCGCATGGAGGGCACGGGTACCTCTTGGATTCCTAGTCGAAGCGCCGCAATGCGTCGAAACCTTGTCCATGTGAGCTTGATGGCTCGGAAGCCTATGGTCCAGACAAATTGATTGGATAAACCGGACATACAACACATGGGCCCACTATTCCTGACTCCCAGTCAGTACAATGGTGCGGTTCATCCTGCTCGGGGAACAGCATGCGTGGGTTATTTATATCGCGAAGGTGCACACGCTGAGTTGCCCATCATACCGGGTATCGCGTAGTTGACACGAGACGTACGATTCGCCATATGTTCCATGCTTCGCGAGCCCACGACGTCGCAATGAGCGGCTTCGACGGAGTTGATGGAGAGGTTGCGCGAGTCTGGCGTCTGATCTTGTGTGACAGTGTGTGACAATACTCCTCCCACACGCGCGCCTACTCTGATACTCGTCGGCCATCGTTTCCATGTCTCGCCTTCATCAGAGTCTGAAACCTTTACGGCGGGCGTATATATACGCATGGCGGCGCAAAGTATCCTCCAGCTGTGCTCACCACCACGACAAGACTCAGGTGCTGGTCGCCTGAAGGAATCTACTCCGTACGTCTTCTTCCAACTCGACGAGGATATAAGGTTGAGCTAACGTCAAACGGTCAAAGATACTACAGAATCGGAGTCTCCTGAAACTTTCGATGGCCCGTAATACACTTGCTTTGCTTTTTATTGTGGGTTACATGATCCTGGCAGTTTCGGCTAGGCCAGTCCTGTGCGTCCATTTATTTCAGAGCCGCCTTCTTGGGGTTGCTTATTATTTCAACAGCACTCAAGATGTCTTCAATGGTTACAACAACACCGTGGTCGTCATAGGCCACAAAGATATAGAACCTTCTATCTGGGGTCCAAACATCAACGTCTTCGGCCGCGTTCTGAACCAAGTCCTCAATATGACAAACCACGGTACGGAGAAGCATCCGTTGGGAGGGTTGTTACTACATCTCGGTAATGAATTCCAACCTTTGGACGCCCCAGGCTTCTGGAAGAATTTTGGGCATGGGCTAAAAGTTTCGTTCTCCACTTTCTTTCGGAACGTCCCTCCTATGTCCGAAGCAGTAATCAAATATTTGCGTGACCTTTAGGAAGCACAAATAAAGCGCCTTCCCTTACTGTTCAGCCAAGAAATAGGAACATTCTAAGAACAGACTCGCTCCGAAGGTCCTAGGGTAATAGTAACAGCAACATATATTGCAAGCATACGCCTAGTGTGCATGGAGAATGCGATGAAGATAAAGAAACCGATAATAAATTACAATACAGGTACAGATGAAAGCTATCCCAGAATCTATGATCGCTCGCCGCGCAGTCTACGGGCAAGAGCAAGATCCTTCGGCTGGATGGTAACACGCTTGGCGTGGATGGCAGCCAAATTCGTGTCTTCGAATAACGATACAAGGTACGCCTCAGCGGCTTCTTGCAAGGCCATCACGGCTGATGATTGGAAACGGAGATCCGTCTAGAAAAAACACAATGAATAAGGAAACTTGAACGTCAAGTATTTAAAGACATACCTTGAAATCCTGAGCGATTTCACGAACAAGGCGTTGGAAGGGAAGTTTGCGGATGAGGAGTTCAGTCGACTTCTGGTAGCGACGAATTTCACGGAGAGCGACTGTTCCAGGGCGGAAACGATGGGGCTTCTTGACACCACCAGCCGCGCCAGCCTAAGTAATCAAAATATGTCAGAAGCGTCAAGGACTTGAATAGCAAGTCACTAACCGCTGCAGTCTTACGAGCTGCTGACTTGGCAGCCAATTGTTTACGAGGGGCTTTGCCTATCGAATGGGCTCAGTAAAATAGAAGTCCGTTGCAAGGTATAGCTACTCACCACCAGTGGATTTGCGAGCTGTTTGCTTGGTTCGGGCCATTGTTGGGTGGGTTCGGTGGTAGTAGTGGTGAGAGTGGTGGTGACGGTAATTGGGGGATTTGGCGCGGCGGGTCAATGAATATATACAGACGCGTTCCGCCACGCACGTGACTGAAGGGAGCCGCGCCGAGGTTGATCAACAAACGAAAAAGTTGCACAGCCACACCGACGCGACTTGACTTATATAGGCGATGCATTGGGACATGGTTTCCCCACTTTGCTTTCACCACCACCACCACCACCACCGCCATCTACACAACATAGCACTTTAGCTTGTCTCTCTCCTCAACAACACTTTGAAACATGTCTGGACGCGGAAAGGGCGGAAAGGTGAGCTCAATGTTGTTTTATCATTGTTGGCAACGCTGACGCCACGTTCTAGGGACTCGGAAAGGGTGGAGCTAAGCGTCACCGTAAGATTTTGCGTGACAACATTCAGGGTGAGTCGCCTTCACTGCTATGAGCGGGACTTTGTTGGCTGACGCGATGATTAGGTATTACGAAGCCCGCCATTCGTCGTCTTGCTCGCCGTGGAGGTGTGAAGCGTATTTCTGGTCTTATCTACGAAGAGACTCGTGGTGTCCTGAAGATCTTCCTTGAGAACGTGCGTCTTCATTTTCTCGCACCCGTGTTTCCTCATTGACGTTCTCTTTCTCATAGATCATTCGCGACTCGGTAACATATACCGAACACGCTAAGCGGAAAACAGTTACTGCCCTCGATGTCGTCTACGCCCTGAAGCGTTCAGGCCGGACGCTGTACGGCTTCGGCGCATAGTCTTCTCTTACACTTTTCTCTATTTATCCTGTAGTTGTAATTGTATACTCTAGTATCTGGGAAATTAGAAGCATAACCCATGCCTATTAATTGAGATGCCTCCATTTTCGTCTCTAAGTGTGGATCGAGGTAAATATACAGGCGCATCGCGAAGCCTGTTGTCCAATGTGCCTCTGAGGAATGTGTTTTAGCGCTCGAACCGATTCCTGGCAAACGCGTGCTCCGAGTCCAAGACTTGTGTGTACTCTTGCAATTGCCCCTGCAGCGACCAGCTGCCCAAACGATTGCCATGAACTACCTCGGCCTGGTACCCCCTCTAATTGAGTCAGGTCGCGTCGAAGACTTCACAAAAGCTGGGCAAACGTTGTCGGTTTCCCAGTCCCCGCTCGATACCTCCTTATGCGTCTTTGTTAGCCCTACGGTACGTCTTGCTATTTCTTACCGCATAGGAAGTCAGCAGATTGTGAAGGCGCTTAGGATGCGAGCTCCAATCGAAGTGATCCAACTCCTCAAGAGCAGCCGATATACTTCGCGAGTCAAGCCGTCGCGCCGGTTTCAGAAAGACGACTGGTGCGTGTTATATTGCACACTCGACCGCGTCAACTCTCGAGCACTCATTTGGACCTCCGAACAGTTTGTGACGGATACGTTGCTTATTTTCACTGCTTTCCAAAAGCTGGGCCAGACCGCTGGGCTTAATGATTCAGGGTGGTTGGTCCTTCTCCATTGTCGGTATATTGGAGATCAACCTCTGAGGCTTAGGTGTTTAGGTCACAATCTGGAGACAACATGGCTGCTATGCGCAAACTTGCAATCGACTACGTGAACTTCATCAAAGAATGCTGGGTGCACGCGTCGGTGAGTCGATGCAAGTATAATGCGCCAGCCTGCTCAACGTGTACTAGCAACCCCTTCCCCGCTCCGAGCCCCTTCAATTCAGCGCTGGCCAATACAGGTCCCTGTATACCTCCTTCTCCCTCTTCGTTGTTCTCTACCTTCCTGAGCCCGGTTTCGAGGATATACCAGTCGGAGAGGAGCTGATGGAGTGGCTGAACATTCATTTCATCGAACCGTCGACAGAGGAAGGCGATCATCTGAGTGCGCTGGATAGGCCCTGGGAGGACGAGACGTTTTGGCCATACCTTACGCGGTAAGTAGACTCGTTTATGTGTTTGTTTCAAAGCCAAGCTCACGTATTCCATATCCGTTATTTGTAATCTTGCATGCCATATTGAAGAACAATCCTCCGAGGGCTCTCCAAAGCCTCCGCCTTCTTCCTAGCCACCCTCGCACGGCACCCCTCCCCACACCTTCGTGCCCTCGCCGAATCCCTAATCCCCATCCTCACCGCGCAGCCCCTCCTCCGCAACTTCTCCTCCGAGCGTGACTTCACACACGCTGCCCATAGATGGAGGGACCGCGTCAAAGGGCTCCGTATTGAGATGGATATCGTACCTGAAGACGAGAGGGATGAGGATAAGAGCGGGGATGCAGAGAACTGGTGGACGCGCCTGAGTGACATTGTTGGTATACTGGAGGGGAGGGAAAGCGTGGTTCTGAGGGTGTGCGAGGATCTAGGCGCGGATTGGAAAGAGGTATGCGCGGCGTGGGGGATCTTCGTGGATACTCGGTTGAGGAGGCAGGATTTACCGTGAGTGACCTGCTCATTGTCTAGTTTACTGCTTATCAATACTGTGCCCCCTAACCTTCACCGACGGACGCGTTATACACACACAGGGATATAGTGGCACAAGCTATGGACGTCCTTCCCCCGGACCCCACCAACCTCGAAGACATGGTCCACGCCAACCTGATGTCCGACAAGCCCGAACAAGCCCTCGAATACGCAGCGCGGTTGGACCTTTGGCTCGCGGCCCATATGGCGGATGTGATGGAGCGTCTGGGGATGGTCGACGCCGTTCCAGATGAGTTGTGCGTCCCCCCTTTTGTGTCAATATATTTTACGTTTGCTCACTCCATTGGGTGGTATCAAGCGGCGAAATAACCATCCGGGACCACTACCTCCTCGCGTACGCCGAGAGCCTGCACGCTGATGCGTCGCTTTGGAGGCTTACAGTTGAGTATATGTACGCGTGCGGCGATGTTGGGCGGCTGCGCGCGGACGAGGTATTGCTGAGGGTTCCCTTACGACTCCAAACGCAGAATCACCAGCCAAAATTGCGATCGCAAGGGGCCGCTGAAGTGGGAGAGGGCGATCAAAACGAGGAAGTGAAGACCGGGGATATCGTGGGCGTGTTGAAGGAAATCAACGAGACGTGCTTAGAGCATCAGCGAGAGGAAGTTCGAAGAGTCGTGTGCAGAGTACGTACCCCCTCGACCCTCTCCTCCCCCTTCCTACCGTTTACATCGGGGGGATCACCGCTTCGAGAAAACTTGCTGACCTGGAGTTTGTGTACTATATTGGGTTGCATTGCGTCTTGATTAGGTAGCGGCGCGGTTACTTATAGACGCGAAGCAGCTGGGGCTAGCGATTTCGTATTATACATCTGCGGAGGATTGGGCGGGTGTGGGATATGTTGCCAATCGGGTGTTGCAAGAGTTTTGGACCTCTGGTAGGTACACTCCCATCTCCAGCTGATATACTAATCCACCGTTCTTTATACATATAGGTCCCCTCCCCTTCACAAAACTCGCCGAAGATGTCGCATCTTCTATCCACTCCCTCGCCGAGTCCGGCTGCCCCCACGTCTTTGTCTACCGCCTCATCTTCGCTGTGCGTTATGGCCGCTTTCAGCAAATTTACCACATGATGAGGGGGAGGGTGGGAGAGGGGCTAGGGTTGGGAGATGCGCTAGCGGAGGTGGTAGGCATGTTCGAAGAGGGGATCGCGCCCCGGGGGTGGTGGGCCGTGCTGCTGAGTGATGTGTTGGGGATCATGACGGAAGGTTTGTTCTGGGTTCTTGGTACAGATTACATCGACTTTGTTCTCTGATGCTTGGGTGGATTTTGAATTTTAGATCCATCCGCATTACCCTCAACAGCCAGCTCGATGACGCTGCTCCGCAAACTCGACGAGATCACCGCGCATACGCGTGCCACAAGCACAGGAGGCTCGCGAGGAGAGGCGGAGGCGGACGATTATCTAGGTATTCTGTGCAAGGCTCTGAATGAGGATGAGAAAGGTGCACGACAGTGTCTGCAGAGTGTTCGTCTGACATTGGCAAAGGGCCTTGCAAGGAGGTATACATTGGACTCAGGGGGAAAGTGAAATTCACATGTACACTTTAGTGTATTAGTGTTGCCCTAACACAAGTCCTTCATCAATGAGTTCCTTAAAAAGTTTGTTCATCATGGTTTGGAAGGTGGAAGGGGAGCTACTACATAAGTCCAATATATACATAACCATTGGTTCAAACACCCCTCAGTGTCTGGAAGGCAGCCTTCCACTGGTCTTCTTCCTTTATTTGTACATTGTTGTACCCCATTGGAGGTCTATCTTTGTAAATAGCCACAGATTTGCTACCTTGTCCACCAACTGTGAAATTAATGGCAAAGGGTATGCATTCTGCATGCATCAGGAAAAACCCCCTGGGCTTTGAAGCCCGACAGAAGCTGCCCAGAGCATAAATAAGCTGACAGGAGCCATTAAACCTCTGCAAGCCAACTAAGATTTCAAACAAAGGTTCAACTGGATATCGAAATGTTAAAGCAATCAGAACATAAATGTTGACTCTTTCCCTGAGCTAATCCTAATGTATGGTTTGTTTGACGTCGTTTGTCACCTACGAAAGACCCAAAGATTGGAAAGACCCCAAACCTTTCAAATCCTTGAAAGCCACCGAAGCCCTCAAAGCAATCAAACCTGTCCAACCTATCAAAAGATTTCATAGCCATCATTCAACATAGAAATCCATTGCAAGACATGTGAAGAACTTAGTCCAAATCAAAATCTGCCTTTAGTCACCAGAGATCATATCCTGTATGCAAGAGGTTGAAGATGTTGAAGCTTGGAAGTATACCAAAGAGTAGTATTAGAGCAATACAGAAATAATTCACATTGATTTCATAAAATCACCACCAAATTGGTGTTGGCATTTGCATACTGGAGCAGGGCAGAATGGGTATTAGATGACTTTGTATAGTAAGGTAGGTATAGTATGTATGTATGCTGGAAGGAACAGAAATGAAGTGATATCTACGATGCACTAGGGACTGGAGTTGGACTTCTGGAGAGTGTTTGTGAAGCTAGTCCAGAAGCAGAGACAGGGGCAGGTGTAGACGAGGTAGCGGCAGAGGCAGGCACAGATGAAGTACATGATGCAGTACTAGACTTGGAGGTTGACCGGCCAGGGCCTGCCTCTAGGGCGTCAAAATCCACCTCATCAAAATCGTCCGCTGGATCTTCACCGTAGTCATGAGCATGCAAGAATCCTGGCTTGGAAATATTCCTGATATGCAAAGGTCATTTGAAATGAAGGGATGGACGAAAGATGGACAAACATTATATCACGCCATAAAGACTCTTGAAACTTCTTGAACCAGTTTGGCGACTTCTGCTCGACATAATTAAGCCTGGCCATATAATGCTCGTAACTGCAATCACCCTCAGTCAAATCAGAACAGATAACCAGAGTACTATATTACTCACATAGGCCTGACAATGTTTGTCTTGAATTTGACCTCCGTACGGTATCCATCACGATATTCGTTAACTGCATGATGAAGCTTGAACAAAAAATAATCAGTATACGTAGTACTAAAGAGACGAGGTCGGGAAGGGAACTCACAGCTGCGATTACCAAGGCGAGCAGGGCCTTCGGTATGGCCTTAAGCTGCAGCATTTTGCCAAAGGCCATCTGGGTTGTCAGACTGCCTGAGCCGTCAAAGAATACCCTTCGAATAACATCAGCTATGGCACTGTTGCCAAAAGGAGCTTGAGCGTCAAAGCTTCGCTTCTAAATGAAAGTTGTGATTCTCATATCCAAGTGAGAATAAGAAACAAACTCACCAGAGCGTTCACTTCAACGTAATGAAGGTGACCCTTTTCCAACAGAAAGGCTACCTTTGATTTAATGCTGGATGCGTCTGAACCTGGGCCAAGAAACCGATAGTTCCCAGGCGCCAACAAGGTGGCACGATCCTTCACGGCATTCCTCATCAATGGCCCCACGTAGCTGATCTAAGCATCAGAGGGACGGTGAAGAGGGAAAGATAAGCTGGAAGGTTTCTGAAGGGAGAGAGACGACATTGAACTTACATAGGTAATCAACATGGCTTTGATATCTTCATCATCATCGCCGTCATCCAGCTCAGCCTCTTCCAGACCGTCGAGGTACTTGATCTCATTGGGAGAATCACATGTACTACGTACTAGGTCCCAGATGAAGTTATTGATGTTGTGTGGGAAGGCTTCTTGAAGACAGATGTGACATCGCATGGCTTCCCTAGCCTTGATTGCAATGCGTCGTGCTTCAGGATAAGGTTTGAAGTCTTCAATGTTGATTTTAGGACCACGACGTCCCTTCCGACGGCCTGTACCACGCTTCCTCTTTAGAACCCGTCTGCGACCAACTAGCTCATCGTCGCCATCCTCTGCTACAGTCTGCCAAATGTTGGTTAGCTTCATCTCTAGTGAAAGAGAAAGGGAAGTGACCTGGGCGCTTCTCTTGTGAGGTTTCTTCTTCAACGGGAACATCTGGTTGAAGAGTCATTAGCTTGGTTAGCACGCAAAGCAGTGAAACAACCTCTATGTCGTAGTCCTCCTCAACTTGGCTCTTCTTCGACTTACGCCTCTTGGATTTGACATCAAGATCTGACTCCTCGTCCTCCATGGAACTGCTACTGCCTGAGCCACTGGTCTTGTCGGATGGCTCGTCCACGTCCACGTCCTCCTCGTCCTCCTCAGGCTTCTTAGACTTGAATTCCACAGGTGGTTCATCTGCTCAAAAGGCCATGATTTAGCAATCAAGGGAGAACCAGTTCATTGATTGTCACCGTCTTCAGAATATATGGTCTTAGCCGCATTCTTGGGAGCCAAGCCCCTCAATCTGGCCGCAAGACCATCACCAGCAGTATCGCTAGCACTAGCCTCATCATCTTGAAGACCATCTATCTCGTCAGCGTTAGGGACACCCTCCTCTGTTTTCCGCTTCTTGGGCAACACTCTGTCAGGTGCTGATGATATGGAACGCTTTCCGAGACTAGTCTGGCCCGTCTCCTGTGAGTTCTCTCGGGATAAGACATCTGCATTCCGCTTTTGGATTTCTGCCATCAAGAAAGCATGAGCTAAGACTGCCTGAGCATGATGCACGTACCACTGCTTTTGGCTTCTTGCTCTGCCTTTTTAGCTTTCTTAGCCTTGACCTTTGCGGCGGTAGCCTGTGCTTTCATCTTGGCCTTGGACTTTACGCCCGAGTCATCCACATCCTCATCCTGGGCCTCAGCCTTGCCTTTGCCCTTCTTCGCCTTCTTTGTCGGGGGTGGTGAAGAGACAGCAGCTGTGTTAGACCTTGTCACTCTGGCCATAGTGGGCGGTGAGGTGGAAGATGGATGGAGGAAGGAGAGAGAGGTCAACGTTGAAAAGAGGTACGGTATGCCAAAGACGTAAGGAAAAGTCTCCCTGAATATCGTTGAAAATATCGGTGAATTTAAAGTTTGTCCGCTCTCTTGAAATCTATTACTTCAAAAATAAGTACTATGTATCTACATGAAACTAGAGTTGTTAATCCAACCGTTACGGTTCTTAATCCAGCTTTCTCCAGCTTTGTCTGAGTGCAGGACAAAAGACGCCCTCTCACCTACATAAGGCATGTTAAAATGAGTTATGTTTTTCGAGTCAAAGACAAGCCAGTCCCCATTCCTGAGCTGCAATCGCAAGCCAGCCTCCCGTAGACATATGTCTCCATCCCTGAAGCTTCCTATAGCAAGAACAAGACACATCAGAGTGTCCATGCCATCACGGTGCTCAATAGTTTGAACGTTGAGATTGACCACGACACCACTGAAGGGAAATACAGGGGAGACTTCATCGCCCGGTAGAAACTCTGCAAAGATCTTCTCTATGTTGTATTCCTTGGGTACCAAGGTTTGCAGCTATGAAAATTAGGGCGTCAGACTTGGGGCATTCAGCAAATTGTGGAAGGGAAGGTACTATATCTCTTATTTCCTCAAAAGCCAGGGCAAAGTTGTCCTTGAGTGCCTCGTACGCCTTTGGAAACCTCTTCATTTCTTCCGACGGTCGCGGCACAAACAGGGAGAATGTCGATCGCCTTTTGAGACCCTGCTTGCTAAGCTCAGCTGGGTGAATATTGTCAGGTGCATCGTCTCCCTGTAAAACAAACACTTAGCCAGTAAATTATTCAGAGAGGTATTAAACCTACGTACATTGGTGCTGTAACGATTGTACCAGTCAAAGTGGAGACCAAGGAAAGGGACTTTTAGTTCTTTCTCTCCCCCGTTGATAGGTTGGATTCGGTTGCTGAGGTCGCCAAATATGCCCATCAACTTTGTGAGGAGGTTCTTCTTGAGGCCCTCTGATAAAGTGCCGCGCAGAAGAACAAGATTTCCCTTGCAATCAGGACTTTTAGAACGAATTAGCAGGGGTTTGTTGCTAGGATGTAAATAAGGTAAGCGTAATGAATAAGGAAATAAAGCATGATGATCTTACTCTGGCTGGATGTCTTTGAAAGACAGGTATAGATACTCGTTGTCATGAACCTTTTTACCCATGCTGTAAAAGCTAGAGAGCTGAAAGGTGAAACGAGTAAGGCATGTTTCCTGGTTGTCTGGTAATGCCAAAGAATCATACCTTCTTTCGCAGATCAGTCAGGCTACGTACCAAAAGAGCCCTGGATGCCTTCGACCTTTGTTTGACTGTATTAGCAACTCTTTTGCAACGGTCGGAGTTTAACTGGACTTTGTTGGCGGTGGCATCGAAATCGACCTCAATGATGTCACAGGTATGGGCTGCTGGCAGACGAGCCACCGCCTGGAAAACTTTTACCTGGGCCTCGTAGAATGCTGAAGGTGGGGGAGAGCATCCTTGGCCGCCTAGTGATCTGGCCGTGACAGAGTAAAGATCGACCTCAAGGAGTGCGTCCAACTTAGAGAGAAATGGTAGCCATGCATCTCTGCATCTGGGGAGAGGCGCGAAGTCGCTGAAGTTCTAACGTCAACAAAAGCCTCAATGAACTACAGGAAAACATGAACGTACTTCGATTTCAATGCGTCAAGAACCTTCTCCGTGGCCATCAGGTCAGTGAAGTCCAA